TTTCCACAAAGAAGGGTTACACACTGTATGTTTATACCTATGCTTTCCAGGACTAACTTTCCCATCTAAGCCAGCCCACAAAACTTTGTTCATTTTATATTTTAAATATACATCATAATTATCTTAATAAAAATTAAAAGCATTCTATAGATGCAATAGAAGCAATTTCTTAGAGTGACTGCTTTGCGGAAAAGCTAGTTCAAGGCTCAGCAAAGAACTGACTGTTCTTGACACAGTTAAAAAACACACAAGATGACTAAAAATATCACTTACTGACTCTTTGCCTAAGGCTCTCAGAAACGATGTTTTTTAGTTCAGTATCTTTAAGCCTGAAGAGGGACAAAAGGCCACTTCAGTAACACTGAAATATGTAAAGTAAAAATTGTTAAATGCTAAGAAGGCAATCAGGGAAGGATACTAAATTAAAATGGAAAAAAAAATAAAAATAAACTCAACCTACAAATACTGACAAAACCTCAAGGTATACATAACTGTAAATGGAAAGAACAAGGAAGTGGTGTGTGTCAGTCCACCTAACAGATGAGATGCCAAAAGTGACACAAAGTAAGATCTTTCATTCAGAATATCAATATCCTCTTCTAGTGATATCTTTTGAAAAGCGCCTGAAATTCATTTATCCTTGTCTACTCGTAAATTAAAAGTCTTAGAAGTCCAAGATGCAGTAACATGGAAGTTGAAAGGGAAATAACTGAATGTGTAAACACAAATAATTAATTCTCCATGTAGACTAGATGCAGGATGTAAATGAGAAGAATCTAACACAGAAAAGAGCAATTAAATAAAATAAAAAATATGTCTAAAAATCAAACCTATTTGATTACAACACAGAGTGCTGAATAAATGCCTCCTCTTTTCTATTAAGATAATTTATTACAAGTAAAATATTTTGGGCGTGTCTAAACTGTATCGCAACATAGTAGAGCTTCGACCATGACAGTTCCCAAGCAGGGGCATGTGCAGTTCTATGTGACGTTACTTGCGTAACTGCAGCCCTGAGAATCTCCCTTGTTCACAGTAAATCCACGGTTAAAGCATAAAGAGAAAATGCAGTGACATATGCAGCGCATTAAATTAACAAGGCACTCAGTCTAAGTGTCATCTGTCCAGAAATTCCCTGGGAACATAAAACCAGCATAATGCAAATGATTATATCTGATTAAAATGTGTCACTCTTACAAGCTAAAGAATGACAAACTGAAAGCGAGCTATAGTATCAAAGGTTGATTGCAAGGCACCTGAAGACCTCATGCAAAGATCAGTTACTTGAAGCATTTATTGATAATATGTAATACAGAATGACTATCAGCAGGACAAAATCTGAGATTTCACAAAGCTACCCTTGTTTAGTGGGAAGAAACAAAAAAACTTCAAAGTAACTGCCAGAAGTAAGTAAACTAAGCCTGAACAGCATACAAAATCCAATAGAAATCAATACAAAATAGTTCTTTCTATTTGAACTAGTCATGGGCCTTACCAGAAACTTCACCCACTGTGTTTGTTCAGGAAGGTAGCTTGCTGTTGTTATGTACAGTCCCACAGTCTCAAGGGAACCGTTGCATGGACAGACTTATCTAAAATGCTCATATCAGGGTGCCTAAAGACATCACAAGACTTCAGTAACCAGACATACAAATGAATCCCAAGGCATTCATAACAGTGTCTCCTCACGTGGATTCTCTAATGTCTGACTAGGATGAAGTTGCACTCCTGCAAGGATACTAGTATTGACATTCATTTTTGTTGAGCTTTATATTTTTGAGACTCACATTCCTTTCTTCAAAGTGCGTGAAGTTGGCCCTAGGACTCAAAAGTTATTGAGGAGACCACAAAATCCTATATAAAACATGATTATCTAAGATTGTTTCTTTAAGAAACCAAACTGTGCTATTGTGAAAACAGAAACCATGCCATCATTTTCAGGGACCATATGGACAATGCTATTAGTTGTATGGTTTAGTTTTAGGTAATACTGCAAGGAGCAGGGGTTTTGACTTGATGATCCTTATGGGTCCCTTCCAACTCAAGATATTCTATAATTGTGTGATTTTAAGTACTGTGTTCTGACCATCTCTTCTCTAGCACAGTTCAAAGACTCAGTGATTTACAAGGTAAAATGTACTATGCAAGATAAGTGTTTAAAAAACATTTTCTCTTGAGGTGAATGAAGTGAAAGGACATGATAAAAGTACATATCAGTTCTAGTAGGGAGTAAGATCAGGAGTTTTTTTCCCCTCTCTATTTACAGAATGCACAAGGATGCTTTCAAAGGAATTGAATAACAATACATTGAAATCTACGGTTTGCCTTCAGAACTCCCTTTCATGAGCTGTAACTATATTTGACGCTGTTGTGACTTAAAAATAAAAGATGCGGCATTTCAAAGACAGGAAAACTATATGCCCGACCAAAAAAACCCCAAAAAGACAACATATAGAAAGAGAGAAATAACTAATGATATAAAGCATAAACCAGCTTCTAAATGTCAGAAGGACAAACTTTAGCAGAACTATACTGTCAAAAAGCAAAGACTCACTATTCCTACAACATATCAATGTGCCAAGACTCTTAACAAAGCTCCCAGCCAATATATGCTGCCTTACACTTATTACACTTCCCACAGTGGTGACAGGGATTCTTTTTAAGCATTACATTTTTAAGACAGGGCAATTGTTTTAACAAAGGTTGTCAGAAACTGCCCCTTCCAGTTGACATTGCTTCCCAAGAAACAGCACCACACAGCCTGCACACTCACAGATCACACTTTAGTAGCCACAGTGAGCATATCTATCACTGTTACACTTCTCTTTAAAGTCCCTACAGTTTCCTCCTTAATCATCCTGAATACTAAAGTACAGCATAGTTATAAAAATCAGTCCAGTCCTCTGTTTTGACCTAATAATGAATATCTAGAAGCTGCTTTAACCAGGAGATCAGAAACCTTCTGAAAAATTGCACTTCTCAGCACATTTCTCTGACTGCAGGAGACACAATTACAAGTCTCCCTTAATCACATCACAAGGCACTAAGGAAAACTTGTACATTCTCTCCTTAATCACACCTCAATACAGCACAATCTGAGCCAGAAGTACAACTAAATAGCAAATCTTCCTCACACAGCTGAAAGAAACCATGGGATCTATTTCAAAATTTGGAAAAAGAATCCTTGGAGGCTGAACAGATAATCTAAGGTTTTTTAGCTCCTCTGCTAACTCTGAACTGCTTCTTCCCTGACCAACAATTGACCTCACACCAAAAGCTGGCATCTGCCTGGTACCCTGCCTTCAGGTGTCAGTGATGCCTCTAGCTGGTAGCACATGGCCACTGCTAAGGAAGCAAGCATGGTAGGGTAGCCATATCCCTGGCTTCAGTGCCATGCTGCACATGCCATAGGTTTATGCATTTCCGTGTGCACATATGAAATCTAGTGTTGTGTCACAGTACTTCCATGTTATTACACTGCCATGTGTTTCATGTCTATGAAGACTCCATGAATGACAGCATTATAAGTTTTAAAAGAGCCTGTTAGATGTCTGGTTGACATTTGAAGGATGAAATTCACTTATGAAATTAAAATGAAATTAAAGTAAGGAGCCTATCTGAACTTCTTAAGCCATTTAAGCTCTTACCAATGACTATCCACATGGAAGTCCATTTTGCTTCTACAGTATCCATCTATGAAGCACTCTGGGCTAGGGACCCGTGGTCTCTATGAGACACTGCCAGTAGTTCCAGTAATCAAATGATTACACAAAGGCTTATGAGTATGTATAAATTCATATCAAAAAACCCTATACTTCCATTGCATCTCTACTCAGCATCTAAGTTAATCTTCTACTTAACCTGGGAAAAGGCAACACACAGTTTCTTTCTGTTATGACTTGAACACTTAGTGCACATCAGGACATAGCACTCAATCAAATGATAATCCATTTAAGTAAGAATAGTTCTTCCTCAACACTGGCATCTTGTGGAGCAGAAGATTTCTTCCTCCTTGGGGTATTGGGAGGTGTTTATCGAGAGTAAGATATGGATGTAAAATGTCCATATGCTTTAGATCTCTCCTGTGGAAGACTGCATCAAGGAGAAGTGAGTTTGGACTGAAAAAATGTGGATGCTGCTTATGTTGAGGGCCTAAAGAAATATGTTCTCTAGGCTGCTGCACAGAGTCTGAAGACAAAATAGCTAGATAGTGGAGGAGCATAATTTATGTGGAAGTGACACTTCTCAGCAATGAAGGCTCTATGGACATGGCTAGCAGATAAGATAGATTTGATGAAGTTCTGCTTTTTTCAAGGGGAAAGCACATTTTCAGCATCTTGTTAAATGTAATTTGAAACAAGATGTGTGACTTTCTGGCACATCTATTCCTTTCATTTTTTGTCAAATTGTTCTTGTCAAATTAGGCTGCTTTGAGTTATAGGCAAGGAAAATTTCTCTCATTTTCTCTTCCTTGGGGAATCTAGCACAATGTAAGTGCAGCAACCAAAACATAAGCATCAGTTATGATATGGATCCCATTTTGCCTACAATAGTCTCTGAAAAGCTACTGTCATTTCTGTGGCAAGAAGTGCTCTCTGTGAAGAACAAATTTTACTCTCTAGCTTCCTACTATCAGAGAAAGTAGTTTTATGCCAAACTGCCAATATTCATATTTTCCATTATTCTGGGCTTTTATCCAAGAAGGATAGAAATGTAAATATTGAAATATTTTCTCTATTTTGGTGTAAACAAAATTAATAAAGAACACTGATGGACTGCATGGAGGGGAAAGAAAAGTATATTTAAAAATAGCACATTTCTTTCCTAAACAATTAAAATAGACTGTTTTCTTTCCAGAACATTAATAAAAAAGTGGAAGCTTTAGAAATTCGTGACACACAGGGCTAAATCAGTCTGCTACAGATTTCTAACATATGTAACTCATGCATCATTTTTCAGAAGGAAATATACATTAAATTGAAATAAGAATTTGTACTTACTGTAGCTAACTCATCAAATTTTCCAAAAAGCTCATTCAGCAGCTTCACCAGTTCTTGGGCAGTACACTGTGATGCCAAACTAGTAAACCCCACAATGTCTGCAAACAAAATGCTGTAAAGAAGGAAAAAGACAGTACAGAAAAATCAGTACAGAAGACATCTTCACATTCTCATTATACTCTTCTATAGCAAGAATGTGACCCTCAGCACAAACTCCAATAACCCCTGAAATGCTACCAATAAAGTGCTAGCTGGAACAAAAATAGCAAAGATTCAGACATTCAGGCATTAGTCTGGTGCTATCAACTGTTGTAGAGAACCCTCAGGCACTTTCAATGCCTACATATCCATTTGGTGTAGATACTGCAAAGCACCTCACTTGTAAGCTCCCCAGTGAGCACTCCAGGAGCACACTGAACAGTTTCTCCTCTTTGCAGCTGGGATCTCCTCAGCTCGATTGGTTTCAAAGACAGTTTTGCATGGCTAGAGTTCCACAGCCAAACAGATAAACCTTGTATGAGGTTTACTAAGTACTGAAAGACAGGAGTCTTGTGTGCAGTATCTCCATGATGTGATCCTACAGTAGCTCCCTGTGAGAAGCCAGTGTCAAGCCAGTATTCTCTGTACTGTGCTGACTGGCTCATGTAAATGTCCAGCTTTCTATCAGCGTTAGCAAGGTTTTAACGTCCAACAGCTTAATCTGCTTTAACAATCCCTACCCATCAGTGTTGATCAAGGGAGATAGCTGAAAGAAGCACGGGTACCAGTGTGATTGAGAGAATAAAAATTCTTGTGTAATCCAGAAGCTTGAGAGAGTATGGTGCCATGATTCTTTCAATTCTCTAGATTCCTCCTTCTGTTGGCAGAGGTACAATGCCAACTGTGGGATCACACTGCATTTATCTCCAACACCCAGACTAGAAATGTCAAACAATTTACGTAAATGTTAATAAACAGTCCCACAATGCATGACCTTGGTATACACTTGACATAGTGTAAAACTTAACTTACAAACTGTAAGTTGAATTAAGCATTATGTACTCCCCTTCACTCAGCAAACCTTCACTCTTTAGATAAAACAACAATATTAGAAAAGTAGGCCTAATAAGTCTACTGTTTTCCATTCTCCATAGACAAGTCTCAACTCTCCTAGTAAGTTACAAAAAAGGCACTCCTGACTCAGACCTTGCTTCTATAATTTAATTTAACTTGGCAAAACTTTAAAGGGTAACATTCAACCAAAAGAAAGCATTCCACAAAGCATTGACTTAGCACATGCTAACCCATACAGCTTAAGAAAATCCAGCCCATTCAGTCCCAAGTTACCCAAAATATTAAGAAAGGAGATTAGGAGAAGAAGAAGTAAAGAAAAAGAGAGTATTATTGCTTATTATAGCTACCACCAGAGTCCTGTGAGAGTCCAGCTTCCACCTGTCCAGGTGGCAGGGTTTGAACAAGCACAGAGAGTACATGTTGCTGCTTTCATTTGCTTTGGCCGTGTTGTGGCCAAACAACCTGCCCCCAGCTGGGACTTCTGATTGCCAGCCAATCCTGGACTGAGTCAGGGGCTCCAAGGTGTGGTGTGGGCAGCGCTCTCAGTGTCCAGGGACTGACAGCTGCTTCAGGGCTGCCCCAGGAGACTCACAGAGGCTGGGGCTGTGGGATAGGGCATTACCTCACTTCCACAAAATTCAACCTGTCCCTTCCCGCCCTGCCAAACGCACACACACTTGAGTCGGTCCAAGCTAAAAATTATTAATCCATTGTCTCACACCCTCTCACACACACAAGGCTCTGAAAATTAGCACTCTGATATTCTGAAAATTAGCACTGAAACTCAACAGCTGCTTCATTTTATTTTAGCTAGTTAACTGACCAGCGTTATCTCTTGCACTTCTTTACCCATCTGTGTCCATCTGTTGCCTCTTCTCTTACTGCTTGGACTACCAGTATTGTGAGGCAGTGCCCACACTTACTCTTTATTGTATAACATCTAAAAGCACCTTGAACTGTGACATGAAGTCAAATCACCCTTATGATGTAATAAACTTTTTCACCCCTGTTATGTTCTGCTCAGTTTTTTGGAATGTAAAGGACACAGAAGGCCTTTATCAGGAGGTGGCAAAATCAGACACAGGGAGTGAGAACAGAAAAGAGATTTGATTTCTTGTTACAGCCATGAAATTCATAATGGTACTAAAGAAAGAAATTATAAGACATAGAGTGACAGAATTCCAGTGACGTACCTCAAGTGTTTCCAGAGCCAAACAATATTTTCAAATACACTCAAATATATTTGAAGTCTAAGTTCCCACATTGGCACTGAAATTCCCTTTCCTTTGATTTGAATATATTAGTCACACAAAAATACTAAGACCTTAAATTTAGGCCATGTCTAATATACTTAGAAAAGTTAAGACAAAGCAACTACAGTAGTGACATCAGTGTTAAAACACATTAATCACTCCTGTAGATGCCCTCATCCAAGGGAAAAGTAGTCTTGCCTCACAGTAACTTAATCGGTAATTGCCACGGAAGTTCACATCCTCAGAAATGATTAATCTAGAGTAAACTACAGCTACTTTATGTATGCAGGAAAGATTCCTCATAATGGTATGGTATACAAAAGGATTGTCAAGTAATTTTTATTTTTAAAAAAGGTAAATGTTAGCATAGATAGAAAAAAGAAGTGAAAAGCTACCAATTAACAATTGGTTCTCTTAATGACCATTCAGGGATATGGCTCACCTTGCTTTAATTCCACAGAATTAAGTAATTTAATTCCACAGAATTAACAATGCCACTGGGACACTGGTGAAAAACCAAAAAAAAAAACTCAAATCTCAATTAAACTGAAACTAATAAAGAACGAAGAGAAACGAAAGTGGAAAGTGAAAACAAAGGACAAAAGTTGCTTCTGTTTCCTCAACAACACAGCTTGCACATGATTCAAGCACTGCTCTTCACAACAGGCAATGTGAATGTGTCAGTTAGGAAGGCTAAGTAGCTATTACAGTGCTGAGTCTGGTGTTGTCGCATTGCCCGGGGGCTCAGAAATGCTTCTATTCCTCCATCCCACAACTAAGCAAGGGGAACATAAGCTAACATTGTCTTTGCCTGTGTGCTATACCAAGACCTCTGCAATCCCATGGTCTTTGAAATATTCAGCTTTTGTCCTGTAGTTTTCAGTCACAGAATCTCAAAGAATCATAGAATGTTAAGGGGTTGGAATGGACTTTTAAGATCATTTAGTCTCCTTGCCAAGGGCAGGGACACCTCTCACTAGACTGGGTTGCTCAAGGCCTTATCCAACTTGGCTTCAAACACTGATATGATCAGAGCATCCACAACCTCCCTGGGCAATCTCTTCCATTGTCTCACCACCCTCAGTAAAAAATTTCTTCCTAATATCTACCTTAATTTCTCCCTCTTTCAATTTGTACTCATCCCTCCTTGTCCTATCACTGGAGTTCCTAATGAAGAGTCCCTTCTTGGCTTCCTAGTAGGCCTCCTTCAGATACTGAAGACTGCTATGAGGTCTTCACACAATCTTCTTCAGGACAGCCCCAACTTTCTTAGCCTGTCTTCCTAGGGAAAGTGCTCCAGTCCTCTTATCAACTTCATGGTCCTTTGCTGGACTTGCTCCAACAGTTCCATGCCCTTCTAATTTTGGGGGGGGGGTGGGTACCAGAACACTTTGCACTATTTCAGATGGGGTGTCATGAGGGCAGAGCGTAGAGGAGGATCACTTCCCTCTACCTTCTGGCTATGCTCCTTTTGATGCAGCCCAAGATGTGGTTGGCTTTCTGGGCTACAAGCGAATGCTGCCAGCTCATGCTGAGTTTTTCATCAACCACTATCCCCAAGTCTCTCTGCAGGACTGCTCTCAATCAATTCTCCATCCAACCTGCAGGTGTACCTGGGATTGCCATGACCCAGGTGTAGAACCTTGCACTTTGCTTTGTTGAACTTCATGTGGTTTACATCAACCCACCTCTCAAGCCTGTCAGGGTCCCTCTGGATGGCATCCCTTCCCTCCAAGGTGTGTTGATTGTACCACACACCTTGGTGCGGTCATCAAATTTGCTGAGGGTGCATTTGATCCCATTGTCAATGTCACCGATAAAGATGTTGAGCAGTATCAGCCCCAGTAGTGACCCCTTATGGATACCACTCGTCACAGGTTTCCACGTGGACAATGAGCCCATGACCACAACTCTTTGCATGCAGGCATCCAGTCAGTTCATTGTCCACTGAGTGGCCCATCCATCAAATCCATGTCTCCAATTTGGAGACAGTGTCAAATGTTTTGCATAAGTCCAGGTAGATGACATCTGTTGCTCTGTCCCATCCACCAGTGCTGTAGCCCCATCACAGAAGGTCATAAAATTTGTCAGGATTGATTTCCACTTTGTAAAGCCATGTTGGCTGCTACTAATCATCTCTTTGTTTTTCATGTGCCTTAGCATAGTTTCCAGGAGAATCTGCTCCATGATCTTCCAAGGCATAGAGGCAAGACTGAATGGTCTGTAGATTCCCAGGTCTCTGGTTTTCCTCTTTTTAAAAATGAGGGTTATATTTCCCTTTTTCCATTCACTAGGGACTTCACCTGACTGCCACAATTTTTCAAAAATTATGGATAATGGATTAGTAACTTTTTCTGCCAGCTCCCTCAGGACCTGTAGATGAATCTCATTGGGTCCCATAGACTTGTGCACATTGATGTTCCTTAGATGGTCTTGAACCCTCTTACAGTGGGCTTAGAGTCTTCATTTTCCTAGTCCCTTCATTTTCTTTCCTGACTTGGATGGCATGGCTGGAGCACTTGCCATTGAGGAATGAAGCATAAAAGTAGTTGAGAAACTCAGCCTACTTTTTGTCCAGGGCAGCCAGGTTTCCCATTTCCTTCTGGAGAGGGCCCACATTATCCCTAGCCCTTCTTTTGCTTACAACATACCTATAGGAGCCCTTCCTGTTATCCTTAGTATCCCTGGCCAGACTCAATTCTAACTGGGTCTTTGTTTCCTTAACCTTGTCCCTAACTTCCCAAACAATTCCTCCCAGGCTACCTGTCCTCATTTCCACTTCCTGAAGTTTCTTTTTTCACTGAGC